TAAAAGATTTAAGTATTGAAGTATAGCTGGAGGAATTATTAATTGTACAGCTATAGAAATAGTTACATAGCAGCAAACAAAAAATACCCAAATTTGATTAAACGAAGGTAATCCCAGAATAGTAGAACCCGAGTTAAGCTATATAAACCCAAATATAGCAATTGGTGCCACATGTCCCGGGCTATTCTGAGAGGACTAAAAATAAAAATACCGGGCATTGACCCGAAGAAAGAAAATATTCGTGAAATTGAATAAATTAAAATACCGGTTATAAACCGAGATAGCTAAGAAATTTGAAATTAATAAAGCATCCACAAATAAAATAATGGCATAGCCTGATGTGAGAAAAATTGAAAAATTCTAGAAAGTGGAAATATTGAAATGGAATGATTTAAAAAACCCGTCTTGAAGATGTAATGATCTGAAAAGTTAACACTGAAGATAGAAGCGGAAAAGAACTTTCTGTGGTAAATAATTAAATAGCCGAAGCTTTGTGCGGGCTAGGTGCCTGGCTATAATGCATAAGACGCGGGGTGCGCAGCAAATAAAACCGAGAATGGATCTAAACCTAATCTTTAAACAGTGATAGCTGTGGAAGACAAGCAAAAACAAGACGATTTTTTTTATTGAAGGGAAGGAAAAAGTGTTTAAGAATTTTTCATAAAAAGCAAAAAATAAGAAATTTTGAAGATTGATCATAAAATCTTTTGCCCGTTTTTTCAACGGAGAAACTCACGCTCGTCGCAAAGAGAACAGTAACAAGGAAATTATTTGCAACTTCTATGCCTCAACAATTCAATGATAAGGGACAACAATAAAACGACTGATCTACTCTGGATGCAAAAATGGCACATGGCACTCAAAGAATCAAATGGACAACACTGGAAAGAATGATGCTCCAATCTCAACTAGGCTGTAACAAACACTCCATAAGTTCTTGTCACCATAATTTTTTAAAAATTTTTTGTAAACCAATTTTGTTTTTTAATCCCCTTGTGTAATTTTTCTTTACCCTCCCAAAATTATGTAATCTGCCCCATTCAGTAATCTCTCTAAAATTTACTAAAGTCGGAGAATATGGAGTTGAATCGCTAATGCAGAAGATCTTTAATGACAAGAAAAAGATTTTAAACCCAAATGGAGATTGTTAAGCGAAGGCATTAGAATATAAAAAATAATTATTGAAAATACCGTTATGAGAAATAAAAGACGAGAATGAAAAAAAATTATATATATAAAATATTTAAAAGTTAAAGTGCCACCCGTTAAATCGGAGAAAATTTAGTTTAAAAAAGCAGCCTAAACAAATCTCCCAAAATATCAGAACGTGGACGTTCTTTTCGAAGAGGGAAGGAATGCTGCATTCGCTTAATCAAATAAACAATTTGCATTTTCACATGCAATATAAAGTGACCTTTTTCTAAATAAAAGGCCTCCCGACGTTATCATCCAATTCTCGTTCCTTATCTTATTTTTGTTATTCACTTTCTGTTTATATTTTGACCCTTAAATTGTCTCTATAAATACCCCAGCCTTTTCCTCATTATTAGAAGATTTGGCTTAACCAATCTCTCCCTTATTATTGTGCCCATATTTATATGGAGAATAAATTAATGAATAGAATAAATATTTGAAAATGTAATTCAGTCTAATACAAGTCCCCAGAATAGTAGAACCCGAGTTAAGCTATATAAACCCAAATATAGCACGAATCTTACCAAATTTAGTATTAAACGATTCCTCTCGTCGAGCTAAAGAGATTGGTACAAAAATTGATAAGGGCCAGAAATTTTCAAGCTAGTTATGGCTTTGCGCCGTTATGGTCGTGCGCCTATTTGGCCGTGTCCCACCAAAGGGTTCCTTTTGTAAGGCTATTCAGAGACTATATTTTTAATTTTTACTAGACCTCATCCTCAATAAAATCAAAAAACAATATAACAACGACATTGAATAACACCTCCAAATTATTAACCGAAAAAGCACCTAAAAATGAAAAATTGGAAAATAACCAAGAGAAGGAAGAAGACATGTTGTTGGAATTGTTTAAACCTGAAAAGGAGCAGAAAGAAGGGAAACAAAATTTAAATAAAAATACTCGTGGTGGACAGTGTTCGTCTGATCAGGGTATATTGGGAAAATGTAAATAAAATAGAGTCCATCCGGGCTCGAACTCGAAATTCGGGTTCAAACTCGAAATTTCGAGCTAGAACACGAAATTCGGGTTCTAGCTCGAAATCAGTTTCGAACTCTAAATTTCGTCTTTAACTCGAAATACGGAGCTAGACTCGAAATTTGGACCCGAAAACGAAAGTCTGGCTCTAATTCGAATTCGGGCTCACACTCGAAATCGGCTCAAACTCGAAATTCGAGCTAGAACTCGAAATTCGGGTTCTAGCTCGAAATCAGTTTTGAATTCGAAATTTAGCAATCCGCAAACGCAATCCGCAATTGCATGCAGCCCTGAGTTCCAGGCATTTACTAGTTCCGTAGTTCTAGTTCCAAACTAGTTCTAGATATCGTTGCGTAGTTCTAGTTCAGGAACTGGAACTTTGCCCATCACTGATCCCCAACTTGAGATAATTCTTAAATTAGTTTTTAAATAAAGCCGTGCACTTTCTCCGAACAAATGGGTTCGAATTATTTGGCGAGGACCATCAAAAAATTATTTTACCCACCGAACAAAGCTGTATAGAACAATGTTCCCAACAAGAAAATTGTAATTCACTAGAATTTACTGTTGCTACAGGAGAGTGTGTGCTCTCTTCGGAAACGGCTGTTCCTTTGGGGAATGGACAGCTTAGACAGAAATTGGGGACTGATTATTTGGAAAGAGTTTGTGTTGATCTACAATTGGATGGGTAATTTATATGGGAATTTTTAAAAAGGGGTAGACGATCATTGAGTACCGGCCGTTTGTGTACCTGGCCATATTTTAGGTCATAACTTTTTGGATTTTTAACCGATTTGAATAAGTTTTATACCAATCGAAAGCCCTGGATGTGAGGATTATTTTCGTTAATTAGATTGATTTGATCAGATCATCCTACAAAAAGTTACATCTAGATAAGTGTGCGCAATCGTGATTTTTTATCTTTATTAGGTTGTAACTTTTTGTATCTTGAACTGATTAAATCAATCCTGCTAGATAAAATAATTGTTAGATCAAGAGCTTTCGGTTGATATATTAATCATCTAAATCGATTAGAAATTTAAAAAGTTATGTCCCAAAATATGGCTACTGGACTCAATGACTGTTCCATTAAAAAGCGAGTTTTTAATTTGTCAAAAATCCGCGAGTTTCAAAATGTCAAAAATACCAAAAAAATATCAAAATGTCGAAACCCCACAAAAATGTCAAAATGCCAAAAATATTTCAAAATGTCAAAAAATTAAAAATGAATTAAAACCAATACAGTACTTTAAGTGACTGCCAACATGCAATTTACAGAAGATTTCCCCAAATGATACTAGTTGGGTTTGCAGAAACAGTTGTTGATACGCCTACTTTACAACACTGTTTGGATAATTGTTTAAAAAGTTTGTGAGAGAATTAATTAAATATAGTCGGACCTCACACCCACATGGGGATTTTCAGACAGAATATTTTTCCCAATGAGGTTAGGAGGCAACCACTCCTAAATACTCAAACTTTGAATGGCCATAACTCGGCCCAAATTGATTTTGCAAAAAAACCCGCATCACTTCGCAATAGGAAGTCGAGGGTCCTCTATCGAATGGTACCAAAAAATTACAAAATTCCTGTTCACAGAGAACATGTTTCCTTGTCAGCAGATTTCCATCGGCAAATAGCAAAGAATTACGCAGCTCTAGACAGCTCCCCTACCCAGTGACCAACCAAATTTCAATAAATCTAGTATTAGGCTTATTTTATGTGAGGTTCGACTGAAGTAGAGTGATTTTGCAAGAAAATAAGTTCACTTTATAATTCACAAGGTCAAAAGCTTTATGGTTTTCGCTGTTCTAGTGGAATGTTTTACTTTGAGGAACCCAAATTAAATTGTATATTAAACACTGAGGTGTTTAATAAATATTTTTTGAAAATTTTTTGAATTATTAAAAGGATCGCAAAAGTCAACCAGAGCTATTTATTATAGAAACTTCTGATTTGGTTGATTATTTTGAGACAGGTTGGTTGGAGAAGGGTAGGGTGGGAGGGGAACATAGTCTGCTTTATTCCTTATAACTTTTGAACGGATAGAGATTTAAAAAAGCTTTTGGTATCATTCGATAGAGAAGAAAATTTGCTATAAAATGGGATAAAAAAATTTAATTTTGATCAATTATTAACAAAGTTATGCCCAAAATTCTAGCAAACGCAAGCAAAAAGGCGGACATGGACTGCTTTATTCCCTATAACTTTTTAAAGGATAGAGCTTCTTAAAACCTTTTGGTATCGTTCGATAGAGAAGAAAATTGGCTATAAAATAGAATAAAAAATTTTAATTTTTTTCCTCTATTAACAAAGTTATGCTCAAAATTCTAACACAAACAAGCAAAAAATGGGTGAACGTGGACAGCTTTTTTCCTTATAACTTTTGAACAGATAGAGATTTCTAAAAGCTTTTGATGGCATTCGATAGAGGAGAAAATTGTCTATGAAATAGAATAAAAATTGAAATTTTGATTAATTATTAACAAAGTTATGACCAAAAATCTAACATAAACAAGCAAAAATGGGGAGAACATGGACTAATTTTTCCCTTATAATTTTTGAATGAACCAACCTTTTTGAATGCTTTAGGTATCATTCGATAGAGAAGAAAATTGGCTGTAAAATAAAATAAAAAATTCAATTTTTGAAAACCTATCAACAAAGTTATGCTCAAAAATCTAGCATAAACAAGCAAAAGCTAGTTTTTTGACCATAACTCTGTTCAGATACATTCAAAAATTGAATTTTTTATTTTATTTTATAGCAAATTTTCTCCTCTATCGAATGATACCAAAAGCATTCAAAAAAGTCCATCCATTCAAGAGTTATGAAGAATGGCGCAGAGCATGTTCACACCTTCACAGCCCCTATTTATTGTTGGAATAATTAATTTAAAAACATTTTTTTAATTAAAAAAAGATTGCTCCGGTTTATCTTCTCAAAAACCTACTACAACAACAACAAAAACATTAATTAATAATTTAAACTTGACCAACATTAATGAGGACGATGATTATGAAAATCGTGAATTTGATGGTGAAGAGGATGAAATGAAAATTACTTTAGGGGAAAATAGCTTAAATGAGGGGAAAATTAGAAGGAGAGGTAAAGGGGATATTTTAGGGGAAAAGGGGAAAAAATTAATTAAAAAATTTTTTGTTTCAAGATTTTGTGGAGAGACAAGCGGCAACAGACCACGCGTCCCTCGGCTGGACTCAATGGACAAAATGTAGAGTTCCCAATAATCAAGGGAATATAGGGGTGCAGGCTAGGTAGAAGAAAAAATATTTTAATCGAGAAAAAAATTTTTTAATTAAAAAAGGTGGCGGGTGTGTACTGGCAATCGAGTTTGTGGAAGAGAACAACGCCAATGTTTACTATCAACTACCAAAAGATTTAAACAAAAAGGAGAAACACAAACAAAAATAAAAAGAAAATTAATAAACACAAAACAAACATTAGCAACAATATTTCCCTTTAATAAATTTGGGAAAAACACAAAACAAACAAAAACACAGCAACAACAAAGAGGAGAGGGAATAATAGAAACAAAGAGGGAAACAAACAAAATACAAAAACAACAAGAAAAATATAAAAAACATCAACAAAAACATCAATAAAAACATCAACAAACAATGAGAGAAAACAAAACACAAAAACATCAACAACAAAACAAGAAGAAACACAATAGAAAAACAACAACAAAAACATCAACAACAATATTAATAGAAACAACAACAAAAACATCAACAAAAACATCAACAAAAACAAATAGAAATCAGAACCCAACAACAACAACACCAAAACATAAACAATAAAAGAAATCAGAACACAAACACAACAACAACAACAACATAAACAAATAGAAAAACCAGAATCAATTTCCAACAATCAGAATTTTTATTAAACCAGAATTTAAACTTTAAATTAAAATCAGAAAACAAAGTTTTATTTAAACCAGAACTTCCGGAAAATAAAATAAACTTTCCGGAAAATAAAATAAACTTTCCGGAAAAGTAAAATAAACTTTCTGGAAAATAAAAATAAACTTTCCGGAAAATATATTAATATTTTAAATCAGAATTGGTAAAACTTAAAACTTGAATTAAAATCAGAATTATTTTTTCTATTTTCTTCCTTCCCTTACCAAGTTTTATTTTTTAATAAATTTTATTGTATTTCTTGTGATTTTTATTTAAGCAAAAAATTTAAAAAATATTTTTTAAAATATAATTAATTTGGAAAGTGTACAATAGCTTCTGGGCGCCCTCTCCTTCGAAGAACTACTATATCTATAAATTTTTAAATTAAAAATTAAATTTCTTCAAAAATTAACCCTCAGCATCTGAAGGTTCCTCTTCTCTATAGTATTTGTCGTTGTATGGCCAGCCTTGCCTGTACAATTAATATAAATATAAGGCGTATATTTAAGCTTAATCTTAAAAACCTGCAGGAGAATATAATTTTCCGGAAAAAATTCCGGAAAATAAAATAAACTTTAGAAAAAAGAATCTTTCCGGAAAATATAATTTTCCGTAAAAAAATTCCGGAACACATAGTTTCCGGAAATAAAAGAAGCCTTTCCGGAAGTAAGTGAAAAATTCCGGAAGATATTTTATATTCCGGAAAATAAACTTGAATTTCCGGAAGGTAAGACTTTCCGATACATGAGAAAAAATCCGGAAAATATTAAGTTTCCGGAAAGAATAAACATTCCGGAAACTAGAGAAAAATATCCGGAAAATATAAAATCCGGAAAATAATATAGAGTCCGGAAAAAATAATATAGACATTCCGGAAAATAATTACTCTATCAAGTTTCCGGAAAATACAAGCAACTTTCCGGAAAATAAATTAAATATCCGGAAACTTAAGTTTTACTTTATTTGCTCTAAAAGGAAGTTTTTAGCAGAGTCATTCTCATCAATTTCTTCACTATTTTGCCCTTCATTAATTCGAAAGTCTTTTTCTTCTTTTATTTCTTTATTATAAATCTCGTATTTTGGTCCATTCTCCCTAGTTTTAGCACTTAACTGTTTATTTTTTAATTGTTGCTTCAAGGGCCCATCAATTTCTCCCTTAAAAAATTAATTTAAAGAGTAATACAGCTAGAATCCGTTATTAAATACCCCTTCGGTCTGAAAAAATCATACCTTATAATGAGAGTATCTTAAATAGAGGGTATCTTAAAATAGAGGGTATTGATAGAAGTATACCTCCTCCCAGTGGGCATCCAAATTTTAAGTAAGCGTATATTAAACTGAGGTGTATCTTATAGGGGAGGTATCTTATAGTGAGGGTGTACCTTAAATAGAAGGTATAGGAGAGGAGCTCCTCTACCTAGTGGGCAGCCAACTATTTAAAAAACGTAGGTATCTTAAATAGAAGGTAGCCTATATTGAGGGTCTTTTATAATGAGGGTCTCTTATAATGAAGGTATCTTATATTGAGGGTCTCTTATACTGAGGGTTTCTTATGATGAAGGTATCTTATATTGAGGGTCTCTTATACTGAGGGTCTCTTATATTGATGGTCTCTTATATTGATAGTATCTTATAAAGAGGTCTGACTCTTATAAAAATAGGTCTCTTATAAAGAGGGTCTCTTATAATGAGGGTATCTTATATTGAGGGTCTCTTATAAAGAGGTCTGCCTCTAATAAAAATAATCCTCATTTTATCCCACATTTTTATTCTCAACAATTCTAGTTGATTTATTAACTAAAAATGTTGTTGCTGATAATAAACTTATAGTTGATGTTTTTGTTGTTGTTGTAGAGGCTGTAGTAGTGGTTAGAGGCGTTGTTTTAGTCAAGTCTTGTTCAGAACTCCCAATAAATGTTTTTGATTTATTCTCCTCCAAAACATCCTCTGGGGCAACATTTGAGTGCAAAACATGTTTTGGTGTTTCTGCTGAGTTTTTGTTTGTTTGTTCGTTGTCTTTGTAGAAAAAGTTTTCGCAACAAACAGAAGTTTCTGAAATTACGCCTGTTTCAGAAAAACAAAACATTTGAGCCTTAAATAAGGGGAAAATAATTGTATTTATTTTTAGTATTAGTACAAGTTCCGGAAAAATATATTTCATTTCCGGTTGCCTTCCGGAAAAATATATTTCATTTCCGGTTGCCTTCCGGAAAAATATATTTCATTTCCGGTTGCCTTCCGGAAAAATATATTTCATTTCCGGTTGCCTTCCGGAAAAATATATTTCATTTCCGGTTGCCTTCCGGAAAAATATATTTCATTTCCGGTTGCCTTCCGGAAAAATATATTTCATTTCCGGTTGCCTTCCAGAAAAATATATTTCATTTCCGGTTGCCTTCCGGAAAAATATATTTCATTTCCGGTTGCCTTCCGGAAAAATATATTTCATTTCCGGTTGCCTTCCGGAAAAATATATTTCATTTCCGGTTGCTTCCGGAAAAATATATTTCATTTCCGGTAGCCTTCCGGAAAAATATATTTCATTTCCGGTTGCCTTCCGGAAAAATATATTTCATTTCCGGTTGCTTTCCGGAAAAATTTATTTCATTTCCGGTTGCCTTCCGGAAAAATATATTTCATTTCCGGTTGCTTCTCCGGAAAAATATATTTCATTTCCGGTTGCCTTCCGGAAAAATATATTTTATTTCCGGTTGCTTTCCGGAAAAATATATTTCATTTCCGGTTGCTTTCCGGAAAAATATATTTCATTTCCGGTTGCTTTCCGGAAAAATATATTTCATTTCCGGTTGCTTTCCGGAAAAATATATTTCATTTCCGGTTGCTTTCCGGAAAAATATATTTCATTTCCGGTTGCCTTCCGGAAAAATATATTTTATTTCCGGTTGCTTTCCGGAAAAATATATTTCATTTCCGGTTGCCTTCCGGAAAAATATATTTCATTTCCGGTTGCTTTCCGGAAAAATTTATTTCATTTCCGGTTGCCTTCCGGAAAAATATATTTCATTTCCGGTTGCTTCTCCGGAAAAATATATTTCATTTCCGGTTGCCTTCCGGAAAAATATATTTTATTTCCGGTTGCTTTCCGGAAAAATATATTTCATTTCCGGTTGCTTTCCGGAAAAATATATTTCATTTCCGGTTGCTTTCCGGAAAAATATATTTCATTTCCGGTTGCTTTCCGGAAAAATATATTTCATTTCCGGTTGCTTTCCGGAAAAATATATTTCATTTCCGGTTGCCTTCCGGAAAAATATATTTTATTTCCGGTTGTTTTCCGGAAAAATATATTTTATTTCCGGTTGTTTTCCGGAAAAATATATTTTATTTCCGGTTGTTTTCCGGAATAAGAATAAAATAAATTTCCGGAAAAGTATTAGTTTTTCCGGAATATTATTTTTATATATGTGCACATCTATTCCGGAAATATATCAGAACAAAATTAATTTACGGAAAATTATTATTGCACTTTCCGGTTATTTTCCGGAAATATAAAAATAAAATTTTCCGGAAATATATACATAATTTCCGGTTACTCTCCGGAAAAATATGAGTACAAGATTAGTTTCCGGAAATCCTTTGGGGAATAAAATAAAATTTTCCGGAAATATATTCTTATAACTTCCGGAAAAATACACCTATATTCATTTCCGGTTATTTATACAGTTCAGCTACTTTCCGGAAATATGTAAGAGCAGGATAAATTTTCTGAAACCTTCCGACAAAATAATATTGTACTTTTCGGAAAAGTATAAGTATACATTTCCGGTTACGTTCCGGAAATGTGTAAGAACTAAATAAAATTTTCCGGAAATATATACATTAATTTCCGGTTACTTTCCGGAGAAATGAGTACAAAATTGATTTCCGTAAAATTTTCCGGAAAACACATTAAATAATAAATAATTTCCGGAAAATAAATTATTTTTTTCCGGAAAAATCATAAAAATATTTTTCCGGAAAAAAAATCCGGAAAATATTTTTTCCGGAAAAATCAAAAACATTATTTTTTTCCGGAAATAATATTTTCCGGAATTATTCCAGAAATGCTCCAAAATATAATAAATTATATATGTACATTAGGGCATTTCCCTGCCCCATCACAATACATAACATCCCCAGCAGAATCAAGCACCGCCAAAGCATCGTCAGGGCATTCGTCTCTTTCATCCTCAGATTTTTTAATTTCTTTATTATTTAATTTTGAATTAATTAATTCATCATTTCCATCAGTTGGACAACATTGATAATTAAATCCGGAAAAGAAGCAGGAGTAGTTTGGCCCACAAGTGGCTTCAGATGACCAACCTTTTTTAAAAATTAGTGAATAAATCAGAACAAAACCCAAATCAGAACAAATATCAGAACAACCCAGAAAAAATCAGAACAAGGTCAGAACAAAATCAGAAGAAATCGGAAGAAATCAGAACAAACAGAGTAAAAAATCAGAAGACTAAATCAGAACAAAAATCAGAACATGTATCAGAAGATAATCAGAATAAAATCAGAAAAATCAGAACAATGTCAGTATAAGATCAGAAGAAATCGGTACAAATCAGAAAAAATCAGAACAGAAAATCAGAACGAAAATCGGAAGAAATCAGAAGCAAAATCAGAACGAAAATCTGAAAGAAATCAGAACAAAAAATCAGAACAGAAAATTATAAAAATCAGAAAAAATCAGAACAAAAATTATGAAAAAAAATCAGAAGTAAAATCAGAACAAAAATCAAAACAAAAAATCAGAACACATCAGAACAAAAAATCAGAACAGCTTAAGGTTATAGTAAAATTCAACAATAATAAACAAACCAGGCAGGCATTGAATAAGTTCCCCACTGTCTATATCCCTTTTAGGCTCTCCATTATTTGGACAGTTGAATACACTATTCTCCACAATCTCACCAATAGAAAAATAAAAAATACAAAAATAAAAAATAATTATTTTTAACATTATTTAAGCAATCATTGGGGGAGAAAAAAAATATTTTTATCGAAAAAATGCCAAAAATAATTTTTATAAAAATTGCTGCGAAAATAACCACTGGTTTTTAACGTTAGAAGCAGTTGAAAGAAAAAAGCTTCAAATTTGGGTCATGTAAAGGATGAGAAAAAAAAGAAAATTTAATTGTTAGTGTTAATCAATTTAATTTCTTCCGCTCATTAACTTGAAAAAGTTAAAAAAAATTATTCTGATGGAATAAAAATCAGAATTTTAATTTCAAGTTTGTTAACAGAGAAGAAGACAAGGGAATAGATAAACTTGAGGGAAAAATACATACATAAACTTTCCGGAAAGAAAATACAAAAATATACAAAATACAAACCGGAAACTTTCCGGAAACAACTATTAAATAGATTCCGGAAACAAAAATTCCGGAAAAATAGAAAATACAAAAATACATAAAATACATTAATCTTTCCGGAAACTTTCTAGAAATACACACGGTAAAATACGACGTTGAATTAAATTATTTCCGGAAAAATAAAATTAAATAAAATACAACAACGAACTTTCCGGAAAACTTAAAGATACAAAAATACAACCTTTCCGGAAAACTTAAAAATACAAAAATACAAACTTTCCGGAACTTAATTCTGAATCAAATAAAATACAAATAAACAAAAAAATACAGAAGCTTTATACATTAAATATATATATATTTAGGTTTCTACAAAATATATAAACACAATCGGTCATTATTTGGAGGCATTTTTACATTAATTAATTAATTTTTACATTAATTTTTTCATTTATTTTCCTCATTGTTTCCTCGAATAATCTTTGTCAACAAATTTAAATTCGCTATTATTAATTAATTTGTTTAAAAATTTATTGGTATAAGATTGATGTCCAATCCCCAACATCTAAAATTTAAAATTGAAATTTTAAGACATTAAGACTCAAGATTATATGTGTCAGTCAATTATTTTCCGGAATTTTTTTAAGTTCCGGAAAATTGATCCGGAAAATTCTCTGGAAAATTGATCCGGAAAATTCTCCGGATTTATTTAAATTAGAGTTTAAACCGGACCCCCCCCCCCTCGGATTTCCGGATCCGGTAGTCCGGAATCCGGGTATTTTGTTAAAAATCGGATTTTCCGGATTTTGATCCGGAAAATTGATCCGGAAAATTCTCCGGATTTATTTAAATTAGAATTCGAACCGAACCGGATCCCCCCCTCGGATTTTCCGGATCGAGTAGTCCGGAATCCGGGTATTTTGTTAAAAATCGGATTTTGATCCGGAAAATTTTCCGGAAAATCGGAAATTGATCCAGTCCGGATAGAAAAGAAATAAAAATCCGGAAACCGGATCCGGAATTTTTCAAAAAGTTTATATTTTCCGAACTCACTTTAAATTAAATTTTTCCGGAAGGATTGGTAGAGAAAATAAATAAAATTGTATTTTATTTCCGGAAAGTTTATATTTTCCGGAAATTTTTATTTATTTTCCGGAAAATTTTATTTATTTTCCGGAAAGTTTATATTTTCCGGAAAATTTTATTTATTTTCCGGAAAGTTTATATTTTCCGGAAAATTTTATTTATTTTCCGGAAAGTTTATATTTTCCGGAAAATTTTATTTATTTTCCGGAAAGTTTATATTTTCCGGAAAATTTTATTTATTTTCCGGAAAGTTTATATTTTCCGGAAAATTTTATTTATTTTCCGGAAAGTTTATATTTTCCGGAAAATTTTATTTATTTTCCGGAAAGTTTATATTTTCCGGAAAATTTTATTTATTTTCCGGAAAGTTTATATTTTCCGGAAAATTTTATTTATTTTCCGGAAAGTTTATATTTTCCGGAAAATTTTATTTATTTCCGGAATGTTTATATTTTCCGGAAAAATTTTTTATTTATTTTCCGGAAAATCTTCTTAATTATTTCCAATTAAAAAACACACCTTAAGAATCGTAATTATAATAGTCTGAGTCCAGTCATCTTCATTTATCATGCTCACGTCATAAATTCCTTTATATATTTTTAAGGCTTCTTCTCTACATTTCTGTAGTCTTGGCTGTTTAATCAAAACAGTTTTTCTAGTGTTAAAACGATGATATTTTTCCTCGTAAACATAAATCAAGTAAATTATTAAGGGCTTGTTTTTAGCCTGTGCTAACAATGAGTTTACATACTCCAATTCTTCGTCTAAAATTAATAAGTTGTCTATATTATATGTATTTTTTTGTATTTCCTTTGTATTTTTTTTTTGTATTTTTTTGTATTTCTATTCTTAAGTTTATTAACCGTGTTTGTTTTATATTTTCCGGAAATTTTGTATTTTTCCGGAAACTTTGTATTTTTCCGGAAATTTTGTATTTTTCCGGAAACTTTGTATTTTTCCGGAAATTTTGTATTTTTCCGGAAACTTTGTATTTTTCCGGAAATTTTGTATTTTTCCGGAAACTTTGTATTTTTCCGGAAATTTTGTATTTTTCCGGAAACTTTGTATTTTTCCGGAAATTTTGTATTTTTCCGGAAACTTTGTATTTTTCCGGAAATTTTGTATTTTTCCGGAAACTTTGTATTTTTCCGGAAATTTTGTATTTTTCCGGAAACTTTGTATTTTTCCGGAAATTTTGTATTTTTTCGGAAACTTTGTATTTTTCCGGAAACTTTGTGTTTTATCGGAAAATTTATATTTTCCGGAACCTTGTATTTTTCCATAAAATTTATATTAACCTTTTTCCGCCTTTATTTCCGAACTTGAAGCACCATCATCACCATACGATAATCTCAATGTTGTATCATCCTTTTTAAGTTTAAACATTTCTAACAACGATAACATCCTCGAATACCCCGAAATAACCCTATTCGCATCTTGACTGACTTCCTCAGCCTCATTTCTCATTTTTTCCACAGATTTTTTAAATTCAATAATATCCCTCCATTTATAGTCTGCATAAGCACACCCTCTCAGATTTTTTTTAATTTTTCTTGTAGGGATATTTTTCGCCAAATTTAAGTAAACTTCGTTTGAAAGCTTCCCCATTTGAGTAGCAATTCGTTCCCACAAATTTCTTTCTTCTGTCGAATCGGTTTCTAAATAAGTTTGGGACGTTTAGGCGCTTGGACGTTTGGGCGCGCGCTTCGATATCATCAAGTAGCTTAACCCTAAATTTCTAAAAATTTTGTCAGATTTTCTTAACAGACTTGACTACCTCCTCCAAAAATTTCAGAATTTTTCATCAAATATTTTCAAAGTTATAGTCCATAAACCTCGAAAAATTAAGTCATTTTTGGAGAATCAAAACATTTTTGGCCATAATTTCTGAAATTCCAGGCCAAAAATTCTGATATTTTTTGAGAACGTAGATAAACATATGAGGGAAATTATTCCAAAATTTTATCCTTCTAGATAGCCAATTCATAATTTTATAAGCCTACGCCCTGACGGTCCTATGTCCTAATGACCTCGCGCCCTAACAACCCAATGCCCTAACTGCCCCAGCGTTCTAACAACCAGAGTCGGGTCGGAATTCCGATTTCTGAAAAAAATTTCGATTACCGATTTCCGAGTTTTAAGCCAGTTCCGATTTCCGGCTCTTCCGATTTCCGACACCTCTAACTGTTCCGACCCACCTCTGCTAACAACTCCACGCCCTAACGACCTCGCGCCCTAACAGCCCAATCCCTACCTAAACTGCTTGTTATTCTTCCCTCATTACTTTCAACACATCTCCCAATCAGCTTTTTAGCCTGAATAATTTTGTCTTCATAATTTTTTCTTAGGCTATCAATTTGCCCCAATTCGTGAATTGTGTCGTTGTCTAGATAGCATTTCTGAACTTCTACTAATAACCTTCTCTTTTCTTTGAGCCATTTTTTGAAAGCTTTGTCGTATTTTGAGGATAAGGGTTCGGCCTTTAAATATGTAAAGGGAGTTACTACATAGTAGGTACATTCTAATTATGGTGTATATTACTTTTTGCAATTTCCGGAAGAATATTATACATTTCCGGAAATATGTGAAAATAAAATTATTCATTCCGGAAAAATAATAAGGCTACTTTCCGGAAATGTGTGAGAGCAGAATAAATTTTCGGAGATTTTCCGGAATATAAACAAGTTTCCGGTTAATAAAATGTAATAATACAACTTTCCGGAAAAGTTACAGAGAAATAAAATACATCCGTAAATTTTCCAAAATATATACTTTCCGGAAAATACAATACTTTTGTGAAAATATATACTTTCCGGAAAAATATATATTTTCCGGAAAATACAATACTTTCCGGAAAATATAATACTTTCCGGAAAATATAATACTTCCCGGAAAATACAATACTTTCCGGAAAATATAATACTTCCCGGAAAATACAATACTTTCCGGAAATATATACTTTCCGGAAAATATAAACTTTCCGGAAAATACAATACTTTCCGGAAAATACAATACTTTCCGGAAAATACAATACTCTCCGGAAAATACAATACCTTCCGGAAAATACAATACTTTCCGGAAAATACAATACTCTCCGGAAAATACAATACTCTCCGGAAAATACAATACTTTCCGGAAAATATAATACTTCCCGGAAAATACAATACTTTCCGGAAATATATACTTTCCGGAAAATATAAACTTTCCGGAAAATACAATACTTTCCGGAAAATACAATATTCTCCGGAAAATACAATACTTTCCGGAAAATACAATACTCTCCGGAAAATACAATACTTTCCGGAAAATATAATACTTCCCGGAAAATACAATACTTTCCGGAAATATATACTTTCCGGAAAATATAAACTTTCCGGAAAATACAATACTTTCCGGAAAATACAATACTTTCCGGAAAATACAATACTCTCCGGAAAATACAATACCTTCCGGAAAATACAATACTTTCCGGAAAATACAATACTCTCCGGAAAATACAATACTCTCCGGAAAATACAATACTTTCCGGAAAATACAATACTTTCCGGAAAATACAATATTCTCCGGAAAATACAATACTTTCCGGAAAATACAATACTTTCCGGAAAATACAATACTCTCCGGAAAATACAATACTTTCCGGAAAATATAATACTTTCCGGAAAATACAATACTTTCCGGAAAATACAATACTCTCCGGATAATACAATACTTTCCGGAAAATATAATACTTCCCGGAAAATACAATACTTTCCGGAAATATATACTTTCCGGAAAATATAAACTTTCCGGAAAATACAATACTTTCCGGAAAATACAATACTTTCCGGAAAATACAATACTCTCCGGAAAATACAATACCTTCCGGAAAATACAATACTTTCCGGAAAATACAATACTCTCCGGAAAATACAATACTCTCCGGAAAATACAATACTTTCCGGAAAATACAATACTTTCCGGAAAATACAATATTCTCCGGAAAATACAATACTTTCCGGAAAATACAATACTTTCCGGAAAATACAATATTCTCCGGAAAATACAATACTTTCCGGAAAATACAATACTCTCCGGAAAATACAATACTTTCCGGAAAATACAATACTTTCCGGAAAATACAATATTCTCCGGAAAATACAATACTTTCCGGAAAATATAATACATTCCGGAAAATACAACACATTCCGTACTCTCCCTACCTCTTCTCTATACACAGTCCTTTCATGTATATAATCGCTAATTAAATCTTCAATATTTTCTTTTTCTTCTTTACTAATCATAAATTCATCATTTTCCATGACATAATAAAAGTCTTTTTCAATTTGAATTTTAATATCGTTAATATTCTTCCCCATTTCACTTAACCTCCCCTCATCTTTTTTATAATCCTCTACAATCATTTTTATTAATTCAACAACCGGTACTAGCTGTTCAGTTAAATTTCGTTTCAAGGCGTGTAAAAAGTTATAATAATCATCCAATTTTTTGGTGTAAGGATTTTTTCCAAATTCTCCCAAATCTCTAACTAACTCAGTATAGCTGATAGTATACTCTGAAATATTATTTATAAGTAAATATACTCCTGTACAAAAATCCGGAAACATTCCGGAAAGAATTTAGAATTCCGGAAATGATTTGCAACATTCCGGAAACATTTTAAGATATTCCGGAAACATTTTACAATTTTCCGGAAATACTTTTAAAATTCCGGAAACATTTTAAAACATTCTGGAAATAATTTACAATATTCCGGAAATAGTTAAAAATATTCCGGAAACATTTACGACTTTTCGGAAATAATTTACAACAATCCGGAAACATTTTGGAAAATTCAAGAAACTTTAAACCGTTCCAGAAAGAATTTGTAACATTCCGGAAACCATTTAGAAATTCTGAAAATGATTCATAACATTCCGGAAAAATTTATAATATTCCGGAAACATTACCATTCACGCCTCTAGAAACATTTACAACTTTCCGGAAAACTTTTTACAAACTTCCGGAAACAATTCTAACATTCCGGAAAGAATTTACACTTTCCGGAAGTAATTTAAAATATTCCGGAAACTTTCTAAAAACATTCCGGAAAAACACTTAGCAACAAAATACTAAACATACAACTCACCGCTTCTATTCCAAACTTCATCCGCTTCCTTAACCACCATAGCGCTTCCACTTCTACACCCTCTATTTAAATCGGTCACCAATGCTTTTATTTGCCTTAAAATAATTTTAATTAATTTTAGCTTTAAAGGGTATCCCAGAAGGTTAATACCCAGAAGGTCAACACCAAGTAGGTCAACTCCCTAGTGATCAAATGCCCCTAACGGTCAACTCCAAATATTTAGGCGGATAAATAAGGATTTGTGGATATTAAGGGGATATTAATGAATTTGGCCGGATTAGGATAGATTTGTTGGGATTAAGCGTATTAGGGGATATAAGACCGAAATTCTGTAAGTGAAACTGTCAGCTATGGTAAAAGGGAGCGCATTTTCGTAAAAAATACTTTCCGGAAAAATTGTATTTTCCGGAAAAAATATATTTTCCGGAAATGTATTTTCCGTAAAAATACTTTCCGGAAAAATGTATTTTCTGGAAAAATTGTGTTTTCCGGAAAAAAATGTATTTTCCGGAAAAAATGTGTTTTCCGGAAAGTATTGTATTTTCCGGAAAAAATGTGTTTTCCGGAAAGTATTGTATTTACCGGAAAAATGTATTTTTCGTAGAATACTTTCCGGGAAAATTCTGTTTCCGGATAGTAACCGGAACTTTTTCCCCTTTATCTTGAGTATTGTCTTAGAGGCCTTGAGACCTCTACTGGGAGAGAACCCGTCTAGGTTGATCCCATTTTAAATTAATTTTAATTTTACCGTGGAGATTTTGATATAGCAGTGACAATGGAAGAAGATGTTCTGCTGAGACGACTTCGATTATGTGGGGTAAACATTCCAGAAATTTGTAAATGTTTTGGAAACAAAATAATTAAAATAAAGGAAAGAATAATGTCCAGTTGCATTTTTATTAGGAGAAATCTAGACGAACTCGCTATAAAATACACTTCTTTTTAATATAAGGTTTCTAAAGGTACTGGGTAGAGGAGTCGACTGGGTTGGGAGAGGTGAGTCGGAATTCAGATTTCCAACGTTTTTCCTTCCGATTTGCGAAAAAAAAGTTTTGATTTCCGAGTTCCGACTTTTGAGCCAGTTCCGATTTCCGGCTCTTCCGACTTCCAACACCCCTGACTGTCCCGACCCAACTCTGCTGGGTGTGAGAATCCATGGGCGTGGGAGGAGCTGTCTAGGAGAGTCCTCTATTTAATATACCCTTCATTATATAGGTAAGCTAAACCCTCATTATAAAATACCTCCAAAACTATATACACCCTCTGTTTAAGTAACCTCTATTTAAGGTACACCCTCTATTTAATACACCCTCAATATAAACCTCCTTAAGATTTGGTTTTTTAAAAATTGGCTGGCCACTGGGTAGGGATGTCTAATCTATACCCTCTATTTAAGGCACACCTTATTATAATGCCCAACCTCTTAAAAAGATGCCTCTATAATATGTACACCTCTATTTAGGATACGTTTACCTAAAATTTGGTTGACTATTGGGCGTGGAGGGACCTCCTAAGTGATTTTAAGGTGCCTCTATTTAAGGGACCTCATTATAAGATACAATTTTAGGCCTAGCAGGAGTATCTATAGCGAGTCCTGCTGACTCTATTAAAATAGGCAAATTTTAAAAATAAAATAAAGTTAAGACGGCTATTTGATTAAATAAAAAATATAGGTAGTTTAAGCATTTATAAAGGCAAATTTTATTTACAAAATAAAGTGCATCTTTATAAAAATGACGGGGTGACGTATGGAGCTAAAACACACAACTGTTAAAAAATTAATTATGAAATTTGTCTTAAAACAAAAGTTTGTGGGTGGTCAGTCTAGGTTTGCTGTTGTAATTGAAAAAATTCGAATTGCCCTCTACACACCACTAGGGGAGAGAAGTTTCGGCGCGAGCTTATAGGGCGTGGGGTTGTTAGGGAATGGGGTTGTTAGAGCGCAAGCCTATAAAACACTGAATTGCTTAACTAAAAGATTGAAATTTCGGAATAATAACCCTTATATATTTATCTAAGTTCTCCCAAAATTTCAGAATTTTTGGACCAGAATTTCAGAAATTATGGCCAAAAATGTTTTAATTTTCCACAAAATGACCAATTTTTTGAGGTTTATTGACTATAACTTGGAGAATATTAAATGAAAAATTCTGAAATTTGTGGAGGAGGTAGTCGAGGATGTTAAAAAAATTTGAGTAAATTTTCATGAATTTAGGTTTAGTCTAAGTGCCAGTTTTGAGCCGCGCGCCAAAAACGTCAAGGCGCCAAAACAACCCCACCCCGTTCACCCCTATAGATCTAAGTATTTTACAAATTGCGAATTATTTACAATTTAAATTCCGGAAAACTTTCTTTCCGGAAAACTTTTACAAATTCCGGAAAACATTTTACAATTTCCGGAAATCATTTTACAAATTGTAAGTCTATTACAAATTCCGGAAAAACAAATTCTGAAACGGAAATTAAATTAAAATAAAATTATCAGAAAAACATTATACTTTTCTAAGGACTACACGTGCACTTTAACTGCTTTTCAAGATGCACTTAAAAATTGGCTAAATAATTTTAATTGTCTAGCGGTCATGTTTTTTAAATAAATAACATGTGAGAGTTTAAAGTAAAAGTGCAAGACTTTGTCTGACAAAAAAAAATTTTTTTGAAAAATTTAAATTTCAAAATTTTGGAAATAAATTTAATTAAAAAAATTAAAATAAAAGAAAAATTTAATATTTAATTAATAAAAAATGCTTTTATATATTTTTAATGGCACTATGAATAAAATTAAAAAAGGCAAGAATTGTTGGGCAATGATTTTTAATAATTCCGGAAAACATAAATAAAGAACAAATTTAGTGGAAGAATAAAAGAAACATTTAAAATCAATTCCGGAAAACATTTTACAAATTTGTGAAAACATTTTATAAATTCCGTTAAACATCTACAAATTCATAAAAACATTTTAGATATTCCGGAAAACTTTTACAAATTGCTAAAAACATTAGAAAAATTCCGGAAAACATTTTACAAATTAGAAAAATGTTTTACAAATTCCTTCTGGAAACATTTTTAATTTGTTTAAAAACATTTTACAATTTGTAAAAACATTTTTTAATTCCGAAAAACATTTTACAAATTGTAAAGTATGTTTTACAAATTCTTATAAATGTTTTACAAATTTGCAAACTTTTACAAATTGTAAAATATATATTACAACTTCCGGAAAAACTTTTACAAATTGTTAAAAACATTTTAAAAATTGCGGAAAACATTTTACAAATTCAGAAATGTTTTACAAATTGTGAAAAACATTTTAAATTTTTAAAAACATTTTATAAATTCCGGAAGTGTTTTACAAATTCCTTCCGGAAAACTTTACAAATTGTAAATATGTATTACAAATTCCGGAAACATTTTTGCAAATTCTTAAGAATGTTTTACAAATTTGCAAACTTTTACAAATTGTAAAATATGTATTACAACTTCCGGAAAATGTTTAAAAATTTCTAAAAACATTTTTAAAATTCCGGAAAACATATTACAAATCAGAAAATGTTTTACAAATTGCGGAAAACATTTTAAATTTTTAAAAACATTTTATAAATTCCGGAAGATGTTTTACAAATTCCTTCCGGAAAACTTTACAAATTGCAAAATATGTATTACAAATTCAGAAAAATGTTTTACAATTTCCGGAAAACATTTTAAAAATTCCGGAAAACATTTACAAATTCATAAAAACATTTTAGATATTCCGGAAAACTTTTAAAATTGTTAAAAACATTCCGGAAAATGTTTTACAAATTCCTTCAGGAAAACTTTTACAAAATGTTAAAATATGTATTACAAATTCAGAAAATGTTTTAAAATTTTCTGAAAACATTTAAAAAATTCCGGAAACATTGACAAATTCATAAAAACATTTTACAATTTCCGGAAAACATTTTAAATTTTTAAAAACATTCCGGAAAACTTTTACAAATTGTAAAAACATTTTACAATTTGTAAAAACATTTATAAAATTCCGGAAAACATATTACAAATCAGAAAAATGTTTTACAATTTCCGGAAAACATTTTAAGCACAAAAACATAAATGTATAAGCCATAAAACATAGTTGGGGGAATGTTGCAATTAATTATATTTAATAAGAGAACATTTTAATATATTTTTAATAATGTATTTATAATCTAAACAATAATAATCTACAATAATAAGTGTGTGTTTTTGTTGAATTGAGTTAATCACAAAATTAATAAAAATGCACCACAATATTAAAAATAAAAGAATTTTTTCGGGAGTATACAACAATATTTTTCTTAATTTAAAAAAATGCCATTTTTGTTGTTTAAAAAATATAATATGGTCAGATAATTTAAAACAAGTCTACACGTTTGGTCTTCAAAAAAATATAAACATTAACTGAAGTTTCAACCAGAAAAAATTAATTAGTAAATAGGTTTACAATTTCCGGAAAGGATTGTAAAAACATAAAATGAAATTTCCTGAAAATACAATTAATTTTACAATTTCCGGAAAAACATTAATTCTTAAAATGTTTTCCGGAAGTTCTTATATGTTTTTATATGTTTTCACAATTGTAATTTATGTTTCCTCAGGTTTCCTCACATGAACGGCTCCTTTTTAAAACCATTACAATTCCGGAAAACATTAATAAAAATATTACAATTTCTGGAAGCATTGTAAAAACATGAAAAAAAAATTCCGGAAAATACATTTTTAAAAATGTATTTTAAAATGTTTTTACAAATGTTTTTAGTCATCAAATGTTTCCAAAAATGTTTTTGAATCAATATGAACATGTTTTTAAAAATTAAATTTTTCCGGATTGTAATTGATGTTTTTATTAATGTTTCATAGAATTGTAATTTTTAAAAACATTTTTTTACAATTTCCGGAAAAACATTAATTTTTAAAATGTTTTCCGGAAACTCTTACATGTTTTTATATGTTTTCTAAATTGTAATTTATGTTTCCTCACATGAATAGCCCCTTTTTAAAAACATTACAATTTCCGGAAAACATTAATAAAAATCCTACAATTTCCGGAAAACGCTTCTAAAAACATTACAATTTGTAAAAAACATTTTTTTAATTTTACAATTTCCGGAAAACATTTCTAAAAACATTACAATTCCGAAAAACATTTTTAAAAATTACAATTTCCGGAAAAACATTTCTAGAAACATTAAAGTTTCCGGAAAACATTAATAAAAGTATTACAATTTCCGGAAACACTTCTAAAAACATTACAATTTGTAAAAAACATTTTTAAAAATATTACAATTTCCGGAAAAAACATTTTCTTAAATTTTAAAATTCCGGAAAAACATTTTTAAAAACATTACAATTTCCGGAAAAACATTTCTAGAAACATTAAAGTTGCCGGAAAACATTTTTAAAAACATTACAATTTCCGGAAAAACCATCAAACTTGCGGACTTGTCTTAAACTAAAAGAAAAAAATCTGTATATTTAATAAGTAAAAATTCCAAAATTATAAAAAAAATAAAATAATTTAATAAATTTTTCAATCCCTCTCTAATAATGCTGCAACAAAGCGTTCTCTCTGCTCTAAATTACCAGTAACCAATTTAAGTTGCTTTAAAAGTGTATCTGCCTTAATTTGTTCCAATACTTGTAAAAATTCTTTTCCATTAGAATATTCCATAATTTGTTCAAAAAAATATTCAAAACGTGTTCGTTTAGAATAATCCATTGACGGCTTCTCTTTTAAATTTATTTCTCTTCTTATTAAAATTGAAGTTTCAGCCAAATGTTTATCTACCCATTTACACCCTTTTTCTAACTCGTCTATTGTAAATGAAGACAAATTTGTTGTTGAAATTGAACAAGCAGATAAATAATTTTTAGCCATCTCCATTTTAATTGATTGTACACAGAGTAAATTGTAAAAATAATTTCGAGTATTTTGCCAAGCTACTTCGTCCTAGAAAATTAAATGATATTAAAATATTTTTTTACAAATTCCGGAAAATGTTTTACAAATTGTTAAAAACATTCAAAAAATTCCGGAAAACATTTTACAAATTGTAAAGTATGTATTAGGAATTCCGGAAACATTTTTACAAACTCTTAAAAATGTTTTACAAATTTGCAAACTTTTACAAATTGTAAAATGTATTACAATTCCGGAAAATGTTTTTAAAATTTCTAAAAACATTCGGAAAATTCCTGAAAACACTACAAATTGTAAAGTACATATTAAAAATTCCGGAAAATGTTTACAATTTGTGAAAAACATTTTAGATATTCCGGAAAACTTTTAAAATTGTTGAAAACATTCGAAAATTCCGGAAAACATTTTACAAATTCAGAAAAATGTTTTACAAATTTCCGGAAAAGGTTTGTTTTTATCAGAAAAACATTGTAAAAATAATAATGTTTTCCGGAAGTTTTAATAGATGTTTTTACAAATTCCGGAAATATCAGAAAAACATTTAATAAATTTCCAAAAAATATTATTATTATTTTTACACTTTCCGAACAACATTGTAAAAACATTAAATACAATTCCGAAAAAACATCAATTTTTCAAAACATCTTATACAACTTCCGGAAAAATGAATTTTTTTTTTTAACACATGTTTTTTTAACACATGTTTTATTTTTTTTTTTTAAACATGTTTTTCCGGAAATTGTAATTTATGTTTTTCTCTCTCTTACATGAATAGCCCCAAACATATTTTTATAATTTCCGGAAAACATAAAATTCAAAATGTTTTCCGGAAAACATTATTTTTAAAATAACTCTAGGAGTTGTAAAACATGTTTTTCCGGAAATTGTAAAACATGTTTTCAGTGAGAAACATGTTTTTAAACATGTTTTTCCGGAAATTGTAATTTATGTTTTTTTTCTCTCTTACATGAATAGCCCCTTTAGCAAGCATTCTAGCAGTAGTATCATGCAAATCAGCAAATTTAACTGCAGCAGCTCTACATACAGGTAAAAGTTTTTCTTTACGTTTCTCATATTCTTGTTGCAATTCTTTTTTCTTTTCTTCATTAAAATTTTTATTTTTATTATTTTTAGCCAATTCTTCTTCCAATTTTTTCGTTTTTTCATCACATTTTCCAAGTAAAACACACAAATCTTTCTCTCTAAATTTTATTTCAACTATCCCATTTGCTTCCAAAACACCTCCACGACTATTAGAATCTGCTAACATTGTTATGCATGTTGGGTTTATTTGTGTATCTAATACTGCCCAAGCACCACCACGAAGTTCGCCAAAGGGAGGTAAATAAATTATTACTGGTTGGGTATATGTTTGTAAAGCATCAACTATCCAAGCACCAAATTTTAGTACCATTTCAAACATATCTAGAGAGAAAAATAAAATTTTAATTAAATATATTTTTCCGGAAAACATTACAGTCCGGAAGGAACGAACTAAACATTTTCCGAAAAAAATTAATAAAAATTTAAGGTTCCGGAAAGGTTCCGTTTAAGGTTCAGGAAATTTGATAGGTTCCGGAAAGGTTCCGATTTTATGAAATTAAAGTTCCGGTTTGTAAATGTTTCCGGAAAAGTTGTAGAGGTCATTTCATTAAACTTAAATTACCAGAAAATTTTAAATTAAAAACAATTTCCGGAAAACATTTTAATAATCTATTTTTCTGGGAAACATTACGGTCCGGAAGGAGCGAACTGAACATTTTCCGGAAAACATTAATGAAAACTTAGAAACAATTCCGGAAACAAATAATTCTTAATACGGAAAAATATATCCCAGAAACAATCCGGAAAATATATTCAGAAAGTTTCCGGAAAAGATTTTTACGGAAGTATATCTAGAGAAAATAAATATCCACATATTTCCGAAAGTTCTATGATTAAATAATTAATTAATTAAGTTTTTAATTTAAGTTATCGTATTATTCATTTACCCACCCTTTTGTCCACCACTAAATCCTCGAATATTTGCTAATATGATTAGAGGAAGTCCTTCATGATTGAAATCGTTTATTGCTTCTGCTGTCTAAAAATGGTAATTTTAAATTTAGCTACAGTATAGGCAAAGATTTTTTGTAGAGTGACCAGTGGTAGGATACACCGAGATAAAACGAGAAGGAAAGCATTAGTTTCCGGAAAAAATTTCCGGAAAGTTTAAAAAGATTTTCCGGAAAAAAATTTCCAGAAGGCTAAAAAAATTTCCGGAAAAAAATTTCAGGAAGGCTAAAAAAATTTCCGGAAAAAAATTTCCGGAAGGCTAAAAAAATTTCCGGAAAAAAATTTCCGGAAGGCTAAAAAAATTTTCCGGAAAAAATTTTCCGGAAGGCTAAAAAAATTTCCGGAAAAAAATTTCCGGAAGGCTAAAAAAATTTTCCGGAAAAAATTTTCCGGAAGGCTAAAAAAATTTCCGGAAAAAAATTTCCGGAAGGCTAAAAAAATTTTCCGGAAAAAATTTTCCGGAAAAAATCTCCGGAAAACATTTCCGTAAGGCTAAAAAAATTTCCGCAAAATTAAAGATTTCCGGAAGACCGGAAAAATTAGGTAACTTGCCCAGTGGTAGGATGCCCAGAAAGCAACGTGCCCCTAAAAAATTATTTTTCTGGTATATCACCTTAAATGCCGAATCAGTATGCCAAACTTGACCAGCTTGTAGCACACATTTAGCCTGAGAATCTTGCGTAGCTGGATCAGCAGGTATTTCACATTCCACCGTTCGTGTTTCCACAGCCAAAACACCAACAGCAAGTCCTCTTAAACGTGCTCTCCCAGCAATTATTGTTTTTGCCCATCCACTCATAATTTCATCAAATGTCCCCTTATCAAAAAGTCCACCACCATCTGGGGGATCTAACATTAAACGTGGATCATAAGCACTTTTTGTTGGTTGGGTATGAACCATTCTTGCTTTGTCATCTTTTAACATTGATAGAGGGGGTAATAATGGTTGTTGTGATGTTGGAGAAGGTAGTAACATTGTTGTTGAGGAAGGAGGAGGAAGATAAGTTATCCAATGAAGAATTTTTTTTATTCCATCCATATCATCATGAGCTACAGAATGTGTTACACCGTTATGGTACATTATCTATTAAAAGAAAAATGTTTTCCGGAAAGAAATAAATATTATTAAACTTAAGTTTCCGGAAAATAATATTATATTAGACTTAAGTTTCCGGAAAGTATAAATGTTATTAAACTTAAGTTTGCGGAAAATTATAAATGTTATTAACAAACTTAAGTTTCCGGAAAATTATAAATATTATTATTAAACTTAAGTTTCCGGAAAATTATAAATATTATTATTAAACTTAAGTTTCCGGAAAATTATAAATATAATTATTAAACTTAAGTTTCCGGAAAAGTAAGAATGTTATTGTTAAACTTAAGTCTCTGAAAAATTATAAATGTTATTGTTAAACTTAAGTTTCCGGAAGTTATAAATAAGTTTCCGGAAAATAATAAATATTATATTAGACTTAAGTTTCCGGAAAATTATAAATGTTATTAGTAAACTTAAGTTTCCGGAAAATTATAGATGCTAGATTAAACTTAAGTCTCCGGAAAATTATTAATATTATTATTAACTTTAAGTTTCCGGAAAATATATAAATTTATTTTTTTCCGGAAAACTAGAATAATTTAGAATTGTAAATGTTTCCAGGAGATTGTAAATGTTTGACATAAACTTAAAGTTCCGGAAAATACTTAAGTTTGTAAATCCTTCCGGAAATTGTAAACCTGTATTATTGTTTCAAGAAAAACTTAAGTTCATTTAAGTTTCCAGAAATGTTTCCGGAAAAGTCGTAGAAGTTATTATATCAAACTTAAGTTTCCGGAAAATTCTTTAAAAAATTGTAATTTTTCCAGAAACTTGTAAAAGTTAATATAAAGTTGCGAAATATGAAATTGTGAGAGACACATTTAAAACAAGCTTTCTACCTGTGGTCCACCAAGTTGATTATTTGATGTATACACTTCTCTACCCAAAACAGAATTTAATGCAGCTGCACCAGTAAGAATTATATGAGAATTTTCTACTTGACAAATGCGATGAGAGAGCCGAGCAACATAAGCTCCAATACCGACTGCACGTCCAGAAACCTGATAAAATTTGAAATAAGTTTCAAGCAAATTTTTAAATTTTATTAGTTTCCGGAAATGTTTTAGTAAAATTGTAAATGTTTCCGGAAAATGTTTCTAAAATTTTTAAAGGTATTTTTATGTTTCCGGAAAATTTTAAATTTTATGAAGTTTTCCGGAAAATGTTTTAGCAGAATTGTAAACATTTCCAGAATGGTATATGTTTTCCGGAATTTAATAAATGTTTTCGAGAATATGTTTTGTGGAATTGTTATTTAATGTTTTTACAATGTTTTCCGGAAATTGTAATACTAACAATGTTTTTTGCAAATGTAAATGTTTTTCATAATTATTATGGAATTGTAAATGTTTCCGAAAAATGTTTTTAAAACATTTTGGAGGTCTTTTTATGTTTCCGGAAAGGTTTAAATTTTGTTATGTTTTCCGGAAAATGTTTTAGTAAAATTGTAAACATTTCCGGAATTGTAAAAGTTTTTCCGGAAAATGTTTAAGGAACCTATGGAGTTATTTCTCCGTTTCCGGAAAGTTTTAGAATTTATTAAAGTTTCCAGAAAATGTTTTAGTCGAATTTCAAATGTTTCCAGAAAATTGTAAATACAAAAAAATATTTCAGGAAAGCTGTAAATGTTTATAAGTTTACCAAGCAATATGTTGGAACTTTGCGATATGCAGCACTTGTTTCCGCTGCAATTAAACCGGAACCGACCAAGTTTTCAACACCAATATCTCCCTCTTTTCCAATAATTGCGTCAATACGTCTGTTACCGTTGTTTAGAAGAGTTGACTCAATCTGAAAAAAAAATTTTTTTTGAAATTTTTAAAAATTTTTTAAAATTTTTCCGGAAAACTTTTCCAGAAAAAATTTTTCCGGAAAAGTTTTTTCCGGAAAAAAATTTTTCCGTAAAATTTTTTTTCCGGAAAAAAATTTTTCCGTAAAATTTTTTTCCGGAAATTTTTTTGAAATTTTTTAAATTTTCCGGAAAAATTATTTTTCCGGAAAAAAATTTTTTCCGGAAAATTTTTTGTAATTTTAAAAATTTTTCCGGAAAAAATTATTCCGGAAAATTTTTTAGAATTTTTAAGGGAAACACCTGTGAAAGAATTTCAGAATTTTCAACTTTAGGGTCCAAAGTTAAATATTTAAATCCATCTTCAGGTCTATCATCATCATTCCATACAATATTTAAATGATTTTTTATATCTGAAGCAAATCCAATTCTTGCACCAGAATTTGCAGCAATATAAACACGAGGCATTTTATTAATACGGCTATATTCACTTGCCTTAAATTATCAAAAAAAATAATTTTGTAATTATAAGAGGTTTTTTGAGTTATTCTTAATGTTGATCCGGAAAATTGAAAATCTCAATTTTTATATAATTGTTAAGGTTTCCGGAAATGTTTAAATAGAATTGTAAATGTTTCAATTTCTGGAAAATATTTTAGAATAATTCTAAACGTTTCCGGAAAATTGTACAAGTTTATTATAGTATGTGTTAAACTTAAGTTTCCGGTAAATTGTAATTAGGGTTGTTGGCGACCGGTTTTAAAACCGGAATTTTTGAAATTTTTTGCCAAAAATTAACCGTTTTTAGAAAATTTAAAAACCGAAAACCGGAAATTTGTGAAAATTAGTGATTTTATTTAAAATTCCCCCCAAAAAAACCAAGTATTTGCCTAAAACTCAAAACCGAAAACCGGGTTTCTAAAATTTAGATTAACCGAAAACCGGAGGTACCGGTTAATAATCGGTCGCCAACAACCCTAATTGCAATGTTTATTATTGAATTTAAATTTTCCGGAAAAATATTAGTATAATTGTAAAATTAACTTGTAAATATTTGTTATTAAACTTAAGTTTCCGGAAAATATTTTAGTAAACGTTTCCGGAACGAAAGAGACGTTTATTACATTAAACTTAAGTTTCCGGAAACATTTTTAAGAATTATAATTGTTTCCGGAAAATTATATAAGTTCAATATACTATATTTAAGTTTTCCGGAAAGCAATATAATAGAATTGTAAATGTTTCCGGAAAAGTTGTAGAGCTTTATTACATTAAACTTAAGTTTCCGGAAACCCTTTTAAAGATTATAATTGTTTCCGGAAAACTGTAAGAGTACAATATACATAATATATTTAAGTTTCCGGAAAGAAATATAATAGAATTTAACTAGTTTTCCGGAAAAGTTGGAGAAGTTTATTATATTAATCGTAAGTTTCCGGAAACATTTTTAAGAATTATAATTGTTTCCGGAAAATTATATAAGTTCAATATACTATATTTAAGTTTTCCGGAAAGCAATATACTAGAATTTTACATGTTTTCCGGAAAATATTACCGTCAAATTACTTGAGTTTTCCGGAAAATATTTTAATGAAGAAATACGGTATACCTCAATTGAGTCCCGACTCAATCGAATCCCGGACCCTATAACTTATGAAGGGATGGACAATTTTTGCTACTCTTGGTACCATTGGATAGGGCATTAAATAGGCTACAATATACCAAAAAATAAAAATTTCTGACCGACTGGTAAAAAAGTTATGATCGATAAAGTGCCGAAAAATCAGATTTTTTTGAAAAATTTAGTTTATAGATCATAACTTTTCTATCAATCAGTCAAAAAATCTGATTTTTTGATATGATGTAGAGCTTTTGATTCTCTATCCAATGATACCAAGAACATGAAAAAATGCTCCGGAAGAAATACAATTTTAGAATAAATTTAAAAAATTCACTTTTTGATATAACCGATGTTCTCTCATAGAAAAAGAACCCATTTGAAAAGTAATATCATTTGAAATTAAAACAATTGAACGGCCATGAGGAGAATCTGGTGTCCAAATTTGCATTTCCCAAGCAATCATTCCACGGTCATTACAGCCAGAAGACATTCTTCTATTTAATTCTTCCTCACTTCGAATAATGTTTAATTGAGCATTTGGATCGTCAGAGGTTAAAATCATTTCAAAAACTTGAAAAAAATTTTTTTTAATTTATTGTGGTTAATCGGTGTTTGGCAGTCCAACCTACCGCGAGCCCAACCTATCGCCGAGGTTATAACTTCGTTCAGAATTGTTAAATCCGGACGCCCTGGTATGTTTCGATGCGCCTCGAGGAGCTGAATCCAACTATACTCGTTCCATACTCGACAATTTTTAACGAAGTTATACCTTCGGCGGTAGGTTGGGCACGCGGTAGTTTAAAAAGGAAAATTTTCATATTTCCGGAAAAGCATGTCAGTTTTGTTCGGTCTCGTTTGTGACTGCTTTTCCGGAAAATATTAAGATGCTTTTCCGGAAAATATTAAGATGTTTTTCCGGAATACAGACTTATTTTTCTCGTTCCCTAAAACAATAAGTTTTTCCGGAAAATAGATATGTATGATTGTTTCCGGAAAACAAACATCAATGTTTTCCATAAAATAAAAAATTGTGATGTTTTCGGAAAAATAAATAAAGGTTGTCTTCCGGAAAATAAATTCTGATTTATTTTAGAATCAAATATCACCCCTAAAACACACACCTTTAGCCAATTTTCTAACATCAGAATTGTTAATAGCCAGTTGTTGTTCACTGGGCAACATATCAAATGCTCTAGAAAAATAAACAAAATTTTCAAAAGATTTCAGAAAAAAATTTGAGAAAAAAATTCCGGAAAAAAATTCCGAAAAAAAATCCGGAAAAAAAATTTTCAAAAAAAAATTTAAAAAAAATTCCAGAAAAAATTTCCAGAAAAAAATTTTCAAAAAAATTTTCAAAAAAAATTCCGGAAAAAAATTCCGGAAAATATTTTTCAAAAAAAATTCCGGAAAAAAATTCCAGAAAAAAATTTTCAAAAAAATTCCGGAAAAAAATTTTCAAAAAAAATTCCGGAAAAAAATTTCAAAAAAAAATTCCGGAAAAAAATTTTCAAAAAATATTTCAAAAAAATTTTTTTCTTACGCAGAATAGGATTTTGGATCAGAACGTTTAAA